CAGATATAAAGATTGATCCAAAGAATTGTTACGTCCCACTCTACCTGATAATCAGACTCTGGATCATCAGAAGCTGTCTGAGACGTTCTGCAGATTTCTGCCGTTAGACAGGAGCCTGTTTGCACCAAGACACCAGAACCTGTGAGGTTCTACAACCAGGAGTAAGAGACAACCTGTTCATTGAAACAGTGACTGACAACCCCTTAAAAGATCAAGATGCATTCTGGGAAAAACTGGAAAAAAACAGCAAATAAACCTTTAGTCTGGTTTCTTCTGAGTTAATCCATCTGTTTTCCATCATGCTTTATCCCAGCTGGGGTGGTGAGGGGTGCTGGTGCCAATCTCCAGCTGTGAGAGGCGGGGTCCATCTTGGACAGGTCTCCAGTCCATCACAGGGCAACACAGAGACAAACAGGACAAACAACCATTCATGCACACACACTAAGTAGGGTTTAGAGAAGCCAGTTAACCCTAACAGTCATGTTTTTGGACTGGAAGCCGGACTAAACTCAGACTGAGCGAAGAAAAGTCAGCATCAGCCTGGATCTGATCCAGAATCTCATCTCCAGTCTGACCTAGAGAACAGCGACCAAGACGGCCTTCCGCAGGACAGACTGACTCTCCACACCGAGGAGCGGCCGCCATCCGCATCTCCTCCATGTGTTTACTATTGAACCCCCTCTGCAGCAGATCCGCCTCAGTAACGGCTCTGCAGACAGAAACCTCATGTTGTTACCTGTTTCCAAGCTGCAGGTATCCAGCATTACAACAACTCTGCCAATCAACCGCTCCATGTTTGTTTTTCCTGCCTCTAATGCAGTGTTTTCTTTGCACTGACTGCTGCTGTGGTTGGCCACCTGCCATCATTTTCCTCTTCCACTGTGGCTCTAAAGCACGGTCAGCCCCTCTCTCATGCATGCACATGCATGCTGGATCCTGCAGAACTCAGCTCCTTCAAATATGTGTCTAACATTGTGCAACCAGCATCTCCTCCAGGGTTGTTTCTCTTAGAAAGTTGCTTCTGATCTCTGCCCCTGATTGCTTCAAGATTTCATTCATCCAGTTTCTTTTTCTTTAACATTTTCCAAAGGGTTTATTATCTGAGACAGATAGTTCAGTATAGTGCAGGTGTAGCAATGTAGACATTTATAAAAATGCTGCAGCCTGCATTGATCCTTTTAAATCACCTTGTAGAGAAAAAAGGATTTTAGAGTCTGAGCTTTGCACCAAAATTCAGACAGAAGCTTTTTCTGCAGCTAAGCAGTCAGTAGCTCACAGAGGAATGACATTAAGAACAGATTCATGTGATAATAAAATATACCAGGAATTCATAAATCCATCTTTGTGCTTTTTTATTAGGATTTATCCTTTTATTCCCACTCCTGCAGCTACATTCCCTCATAAATCGTCAGCAGAAACCGTGACTGAACTTGCTGAGAAAGTTTGAACCTTTGTAGGACTGCGTGCATTTTAGTAAAGGTTAGTTTATCTCTGAATAACTGAAT